ATTGATCATTCCAAACTGACTCTTGCTCAGAAACACATTCCATTATTCCAGAGATAAGATTGTGACATTCATAATTAATGACCTGCTGTCTTTAAAATAAACATACAACGCCGACTAACCTCCTGCTAATGAAATTCTGAACCTCAACTTCTGCGCTTTCTGTTTGATGGTAGGTCTCAAGCATGTCTATGTTTAACATTATTATGTTCGTGCATTAAAATATTATGTTCGTGCATTAAAATATTACATTTTTAAAAGCAGAAGGGTGGAGAAGAGCAAACACAGATCATACTGGATTCTACTTTGTCTTTTTTTGGCAAAGAATCCTGAGGCACAGAACTATCTGGCAGGAGTGGGCACAGACCCTCGCTACTCAAATAAGCTTCTTAGACTTGTTAGGCAGCATTGCCTGGGTTTTTTTTAGAAATGCAGAGTCGTTGGCCCCACCCTAGGTCTCTTGCGCCAGAATTAGCATCTTCATAAGATCCCCAGAGGATTCCTGCGGTGTGATCAAGTATGTGCAGCTCTGAGCTACAAGCAACACTGTGAAGAGGACACAGCCCGTCCTGGGCAGCAACAGCACTTTCCCTTTTTCCTCTTCTTGAAATCCTTCCCTTAGCCTTCATCAAGTTTCTAAGTTAGTATCTTACTAACTCTCCTGTTCTCTCTCAAAATCTGCTCTTACGACTGAGTCTGGTACCTTTACTTCCTTGGGTTAATTTAACTAATTGGTCCCCACTGCTGGGCATATAGGCATTTTAATAGACCTCTCAAGTCACCTCCTGGAAGACATCGGCCCACCTGTTACAGGGAAAAGCCACGCTGATGGGAGGGGCAATCCTCACCGTTGGTGCCTTTGACTTCACAGCACTTTGGTGCCGGGAGATTGTCAACGTTAAAGGAAGGAATGTTAAAGGCGCCCATTCCCAATGCAAGGGCTGCCCCACCAATGCAGTCTTTGGTGCCGATGATGAAGCTTGTTTACCTTGTGTGTGCCTGGTTGCTGCCCTGATTTCCCAATAGGCCATAGTAACTTAAAGCGTAACAATGTTCTACTTCCCAGCATCAAAAAGGATTTCTTCTACCTTCTTAGCAAGCACCAACCCAGAGAGCCATCAATCATTCACTCTCCAATCTACCCTGCCTACTTCAACTGGCGTAGGGAGGAGCTAAAGCACTCTGCAAGACTTCTGGTGACTGCTCAATTTGAATATGTTGTGGGCATCACTTGCTTATTATTTTGAGGAGATAATGGCAAGTTTAATATTGAATACCCCAAATGTGCAGTGTGCCCACTGTTCAATAAGTAATTTGGCTTGGGTTAACAGATACGTGGAGACCCCAAAGCTACCAATCCCATCCCTTGTGCCAATGAACAGTTCGTTCCTTCTACTCCCTAAAAGCCTCTACTAAGCCTGTCTCTGTTCCCTGGTTTTCTTCCAATGATTGACCTCAGGACAAATTCCCTGATGGATCTGACACTAGCACAGGGATTAGGGAACTCCTGTTCTCATTCCAGCTTTTCCACTAACCAGCTGGGTATCCCTGGGCATCGTTTAATGTCTCTGAGCCTCACCTCTCAAATGAAGCAGGTAAATTAGATCACTGGTTTTCAGCCCTTTCGATTGCAACCCACAGCAAAAAACATTTTACATCATCCCGCTCGCACATATGTATATAAATCAAACACGAGTTTCGCAAAACAATACTGAGGCTAATCACATGCAATGTAATGATTTATTTATTTATTACTGAATGAATGAATGAGACAGAGTCTCGCTCTGTTGTCCAGGCTGGAGTGCAGTGGTGCATTCATAGCTCACTGCAACCTCGAACCCCTGGGCTCAAGCGATAATCCTGCCTCAGCCTCCCGAGTAGTTGGGACTACAGGTGTGCACACCACACCCGGCTAATTTTTAAATTTTTTTTGTAGAGATGGGGCCTTGTTATGTTGCCCAGGCTGGTCTTGAACTCCTGGGCTCAAGTGATCCTCCCACCTCAGCCTCCCAAAGCACTGGGATTACAGGTGTGAGCCACCACACCAGGCCCTTGTTTATTTTATGTTGTTTTTTAATCTAGTTTTATCTTAAAAATTCTGGTCAAAAACTACCAAGGTGATTTCTGTATCCTCTAATGGGATACAACTACTATTTGAAAAATACTGGACTCAATCCTCATATTATTATTGTTGCTGTTATGATTGCTATTATTATTGTTAGGATTTTAGGAGAGTAGCTCTGGGGTATATGGGTGTGAGTCTACCCTCAATTTACAAGTATCCCAGGAAGGACCTATTTTTCATTGTATCTAGGAGGGGGCAAAAGGAAGATGCCAATATTATCAGAGAAAACATTTTAAACTATAGAATCCAGTTCTCTCATTTGTTCTTCATAGGCTTATATAAACAAACATTTGAGACGAAGTTTACAGAGTAACCAGGAATGTTTTTCTTGGGGGTCATCCCTTTATTAGTTGAATAACTGTGTTTGTAAAATAAATGAATATGATTCTTTAAAATGCAAGCT